CAGTCACCCTTTAGAAGTACTCATGCCCCCTTGCTGGCAAGGCAAGGAACATCTGGGACCTGGGATAAATTTTTTTGTTTCCTAACAAGGTTCTTTAAGCTGTGTGGTGTCCAAGGCATTATTATTTTGCAGCATGGAATCCCTTAGATGCTCTCTGTGACAGACTTTCTGAAAGCTTGTTTTGAAACACCCCTACCCAATATTACAAATCCTGACTCTTCTTCTTTTTTTAAAAATAAATCACAGGCTTTTAAGAGGTCTTTATATTCTGCTGATTCCCCCCAGCACCATCTTGTGATGAGAAGAAAAAACATAGCATCAGTAACACCTTGGCTGGCCTAGGTATTTCTCCTCTGGAGGACATTCCCAGCATGTCCCTAGCCATTGTACAGGAGCTGCTGTGGTATTGCAAGTAACAGAGAAGTCCCATGCATCTGTGCATTGTGTTAGAGACACAATCCTACAGAAAGCTTGACATTTCATGATCTGTAAGCTCATGAGCTCTTACAAATCATAAGGCCAATAAACTGATCAAAAGCTGGCTTATTAAATCCTACATGGAAAAACAGGTTCCTTAAAGAGCAGACACCAACACAAGCATACACGTTGCTGTCCCTAGTGAGAGGGGACATCATTTCAGCTATGGATGCTCAAGCAAACATAGCAGAGACAAAGAGAAAGTAGTGGAATAGTGTATCTGAATATACTGCTTCCCATATTAAAAAAATAAAAAATAAAATGAAATGTAGATGATTCTGTTTGACTGTAGCTAACCACTGGAAATGACAGCTACAGATTAATAATTATAGTTCTCTTCTCTGTGGATTAAACAAAGAATAGAGGTCTTCTAAACCCTTAGAAGATGTTACCTCTCCAGTAAACAGGATCTAAGGAAAAAGACCTAGTTTCTCTCATCCTCTCTTAATGAATGGAGACTTGAAAACAATCACTTTGAGGTCTGGTTCTCTGATCTGTGAGATGCTGCCTACACGTCTGTATTTATACATCTGACCCTCATACTGAGATTGCACTTCAATGTTGGTATACAAGAGACATCACTTAACACCTTTCTTTTTCATCTCTGCATTTATTATTATTATTTTTAGAGGAAGTCCATGAACATGTTTGCCAAATAATGAAACACTACAAGAAATATCTTTTCACTTCAAACATTTAAGCTTAGCAATATTAAAAACGCATCCACAAGAATTTCCAAGTATTAGGTGAAAAATGAAAGAATTATTACAGACAGTTAGAACACCTGCATTGCAGTTACATTTAAAATTCAGTTCATATACTAAGCCAACTTTGTGAGTCATGAATTTCATTGTTTCTCAAGTACATTTGGAGCCAGACAAAGAAACCATGGTTTCTTTGGATCCTATGGATCCTATGTTTTCACTAATTTTATGGTGAATTTTGTTAACATTTCCAATTAAAAATTAAAACCCCAAAAGCAACAGCCTAGTGCTATCACAAATGAATTGAAAAAATAAAAATAAAAATAAGTGGGATGAAGAAAACTGATGTATAAATGAAAAGATAAGATGTTTGGACTAAACTGAAAATTATGAGAGTGACTGAAAATAAGCAGTCTGGCTTTAAATAATAATAATAATAATAATAATAATAATAATAATAATAATAATAATAATAATAATAATAATAATAATAATAAAAGGTTAAAATATCAATATAGACATTTAGTTTGAAAAACATTTCAAATAGAAAAAAAAAATAAAATTTCAAGAATTACTCTCAAACATTTTCCTTTACAGGTCTAACATGTATCTTTCTTCTAGATCCTGCCTCAAGTACAAGAAGATTAATAAGAATATGGAATACCTTTGAGACAGGCAAATACAAAATAACTTGTTAAACACATGAAAATTTAATCAATCTAGTCTATGATAATTAGAATTGGCTTAACATGCCCACATCTAAATTATAAGTAGCGTATTATTTTCTTTTTTTTCTGGTCCGAGCCTAGAATTGAAGGCACCTAGAACTTTCCATTAATACATTTTGTCCTCTTTTTGCCCTTTTTTGACCTGTTTGTGATTGTAGACCATAGTCTGTGTGGTTTGGTTACCTGTGAATAAAATAGGACTATCTGTTGATGTAACAAAAACATGCACACCCAAGCAGGTGTATAGATTCAAGATTCAGGAGCTAATGCTAATGAGGGATGGAGATGTGCCTTGAAATTGGGAACTATACCACTGCTGAAAACAATAACCCTTCTTCAACGTAAACAGATATTTCTTGAATGGTACAAGATGTATTTAGAGAGCAGCAAGGTAAAACAAGACTTTTTAAGGAACCTTTTGGAGGACAGGATGACATTCAAATTTACTCTAATTTTTTAAAATGTCACATCCACTCAATCGATAAAAAATCTGGAAATCTGTATGACAGAATAGTATTAATTTGAGGACATCAGCACAGCATATAAGGGATGATTCAAAGAGAAAGTGAGTCCCAACAGAGGGAAAATGTTACCACAAGCATTATAAAAATTCTCAGCAAGGGAAGAACCATAAATAACATTCAGCATTCCTGAGTTCTAGTCTGTGAAAATGAAGGTTATGGAGGTAATAAAGAATGAATAGAATACACAAATTATGGTATAATCTCTGTCACGGGCATAAGTCTCTTCACTGACCAAAGAAATGTGTGTGCATATTCACAGGTTCATGCACGTAAAATCACCAATTTTACTACCTGGATTCTTGCAGGAGTCTATGATTAAAACTTGCATTCAGAAATAAGCTCATAAACATTGCAGAAACCACACAGAAAAAAGCATATTTGTTCTTATTAACTCTGGTTTGCTTCATAGTATTTCATTAGAGAGCTGTTCTTTCCAAAAGCAGGAGCAGATCACTGATTATCCAGCTCAGTGATCACAGTTATGTCCTGAAATGCTAAGAATTGGAAACTTTCTGTCCTTTTACACTTGCCAGGAAGGTCATCCATCTAAAAGCTCAAGAGATATATTCAGTCACAGTTATTTTCCTTAATTAAAAATTGTTCACTTCTAAATAAGTAGATACCTTTTGGATGTCTCAAGCTGAACACCAAAAATCTTGAAATGTGGAAGATCACTGGTCATTAAAAAAATTCCATTTGACTTTCACTTCACATGATCACATAACTAATTTTATTACAATTTGAAAAATGTTCTTTCTTACCCAGGAATTCAGCAGCTCTACCAATCTGCCTTCCAGTTTCACCTGATGTAGGATACAACTCACTGTCACTTAAGATGAGAAAACATTGAGGTTGACCTGGGCTTAATTGTATGATGGGAACTCCTAAGAGACTGAGACATGTCATTTGCTGTTTCTGGGTCTCAAACTAGATACATCAAGGTGAGGTTATGTAATCTAATCTATGCACAAAACCACAGCACCTGAATTTGAGCTAACCTCCATTTATAGTGGATAGATACACGCACCTCTGGAAGACAGTAATGTCATGCTAAAATAATCATATGAAATAGGTTAACTGGTGGGTTTTTCCTTCCCCATTACCTTAGAGGAAGTCTAGTGTAACTATTTCAGAGACAAAACACAAAAATTAAACATACTCACTTGTTTGTAAGTAATACTTTCTATCTGAATAGGAATAGTCAGAAGCATCATTTACCAGAAAAAAATATCAAAAATCAGATATTTATATGGTGAGGGGTTAAATTATTTGAATGAACATTCCCATTCTAAAGAATCTAGTTGAACATTGTTGTATTTTAGATATGCAATTAATTACAGTGGTTTCTGAATAAGACCTTAGAGGAAAAAATACATATTTATGTGTGCCAAAAAAAGGTGAATACTGTATGCTGACCATTATGCATTGAAGATGACAAGTTACACAATCAGTACAAATAAGCAAGAAACTGTAAAAACTGGTAAAATATATAGTTTACAGTGACAGTTCTAGTCAAATCAAAACCATATTAACAATTTCTTCTTTAAAAATAAAACCAAACTATATTTCAAGAGTGTTTTAAAATGTCTGTCTGTTAGAGAATATTAAGCAATTGTAAAGTACTTGTATGGAAGTTATAGAAAGCTATTAATATGAAAGATAGATAATTTAAATACCAGTGCTATTTCTCTGGTATCCTTTTGTGCAGTGCTTCCTGAGACATGATGAAAGGCACAGTTATGATCAATGATCTAGCTAAGAGCTGAGCTGAAATGCAAGATGAATTTATTATGGTGGTTGTATAGTGTTGCTTACAGTTTCAAAGTGGAAAAAAAAAAAAAAAAAAAAAAAAAAAAAAGCTTTATTCAATGTTCTTACAGCTTTTATGTGAGACTAGATAGAGCCACAATGCAAATGGGGACAACAAGCAAGAATAGACTTACATGACAAATCCCCAAAAATGTGTTAAGACTGAGTGATTCAAGGGATAGTACATTATTTGGTAAGTGAAGGATTATGATGCGAATAAATCCAAGTACTATTCATAAAAATCCCAAGTTCTTCATAAAAGTGACTAAAGAGTTTGAAAGCCTATATCTTTAATGGCCTTCCTGTATAGTTTCTGAAAAATGACCCTCTGAAAATTGAGGCAACCAAAAGCACTGGCTGAAATACCTGGAGGCTTAGGCTTCATAGGACTGATGGAAACCTCTAATTTTATCGCTTTTGCCTGGAAAAATTAATCTTGAGCGGATTGGAAATAGGCATCCCACTATTTATTTATGTTGTTTTATTATTGCTTTAATTTTATTGTTATTTTTAATCTCAGACACTAGCAGTGAAAAAATCCCTTCAAAGAACTGACTTGCCCTTGTGCAGGATGAGCAGTGGTCCCAATTCTATTACAACTACAAAGGAAGTTGGAAAAGGCTTAAAATAACTTACAGGTCCACACAGAAAAAGACAGAATGAATGTTAACAGTAGAACGTTAATGCTTATCAAGTGCTAGACTTGGGAACACGTATTTAAATAATAACATCTTATTTACAAGGACAATTATCCTTACCATGGGAAGCAATACGAGAGTGAAGAAGCAGGTCTTCCAGTTGATGGCCATCTTGTCTCTCAATTTTGATCTTTATTCAAGATTTTCTTTTTTTAACACTGTTACTGGGGATGAAGCACACACTCTCTGCAGATGTTATTGTCAATGTCTTCACATCAAGGCTCAAATTTCTGCAGTGAAAGAAGAAAATGATTATAAATATGTAAAACATGGTGGAGAATGAGAAAGAAATGGACAGAAAACAGCACAACAATTGAACTGTCAGTTGCATATATTAGAAGTCAATCATACTTATGGATTGCAGCTACTATAGACCTTCTTGGACAATAAATATAAGGCCAGAGGATATGGCTTTAAGATCAGTCACTTGCATCATAAAAAGTACTGAAACAGACTCTAACAACAAAGGCCTCAATTGTACCTAAAGAAGAGGCAGAATGGAACATTTTGAACCAGCCAAAGGGCCTGTCTGCTTCATTTCTGAAGTCATGATTTGACCGTCCTGATTTCAGTAATGGCTCAGAATCATGACTGTGTGAGGATTTTTTAAGAGATGGTATGACTTGAAGATTTATTCCTAGAGTTTTCTTGTCCAGACAACAAAATCCATGACCAGATTTGTTAATAAACTGATAGCTTTTCAAGCACACACCAATGGAGATGGAAAGAAATTAATTGTACTCTCAGACAGGCTAAAGTTTTATCCATAGCAGGATTGATTTACATGGGTGACAGTGCCATACATATCTGTGACTTTCACTGCTTTGTCTGTGCCAAGGAGCTAAACATGTGGTCAGGACACCATCAGAATTGTATCCCTTGCATTAAATACATCCTAGTTCTTTATGTCATAACTCGTTGTTTAAAAATTCCCATGCAGTCCAATTCATTATGATTCTCAAAATAGTTACATAATATTGACAATAAATTCTCTGTTTGAATCTCTGGCAGGATTCAAACCTCATTACCTTTTAAAAAACCATCTTGCCTGAGATATTCATGTCTTGATGATAGAGGTCTGAGCTTGATGTCCTACCTACAGGCAGGTTTTAACACTGAGATATTCATTAAAAATGTATTTGTCCACCACCTGAGATGGATCCCCTTCCATTTATCTCTGCGTTCCAGACCAAATTCCTACAAGATAAACTCAGCTAGTGGTCTTTGGCTATGTCTGTAGTAGTTTATACATAATCTTTTTGCTTAGGAAGGTATGAGAGTTTAGCCCTCTCAAGGCCAGAAAAAATTATTTCATCTGTTTTGTTTACAGATTGTACCGGGTCTGGCTGGGATGGAGTTAACTTTCCCTGCAACAGCAGTGCTGTGCTCTGTACTTGTACCTAGAACAGCACTGGTATCACACCAGTGTTGTGTCTGCTGCTGAGTAATAGTGGCACCTCATCAGGACCCCCTTTAACCACCCCAGAGCGAGCGAGCTGGGGGTGGGCAAGAGGTGGGAAAGGAACATCACCAGGACAGCTGGATTAAACCAACCAAAGGAATATTCTGTACCATATGATGTCACAATCAGCAATAAAAGGTGGAAAAAGGAAGAAGAGGGAAGGGGTGGGCTCTCATTGTGAAAACGTCTGTCCTCCCAAACACTGGCTACGTGCATTGAGGCCCTACTTCAAGGATGTGGTCAAGCATTGCTTGTTGATGGGAAGTAGAGAGTAATTTCTTTCCTCTGTGCTTCCACGTGGCCTTTACTTGTTTTTCTTTTTTTTTTTTTTTTATTCTTTTTATCTTTCTTTTTTTTTTTCCTACTCTTTTCCCCTTTTTCTTTTCCCTTTAGTTAAATTATTTAATTATTAATAGTTTTATCTTTATAATAAATTTCCCTTTAATTAAATTATCCTTATCTCAACCTGTGGGTTTTTTGTTTTGTTTTGTTTTGGTTTGGTTTTTTTGTTTGTTTGTTTGTTTGTTTTTTCCTTTTCTTCTTCCCCTCTTTCCCCTCCTCTTCTGAGGAGGGGTAGTGAGAGAATGATTGTGATAGAGTTCAGCTGCTTAGCAAGGTAAAACCACCACATACATATGTAAATGAAGACTTTGAATACAGAGGTGCTTTTTAAAATCTTACTCTATGATGCAGGTTTTGTGTATGCCACCTATTACCTATGTGGACATAAATAAGACTGGCATACATCTTCCAAACTAGAGAAATGTTTACACATGTAAACAAATTCTTGAGAAAGGGAGAAAAAAAAAAGTCATAAAAAATAAAAATTCAGGGATAGAGAACATGCAAACGTATGTAGAAAGAATAAAACAAGGTCATATTGGGAAAAAAAAAATCAGAATGTGGCAAAGGAGAAAAGGCTGAAAAGAAATCATACTGAATACAAAAAGTAAATACAGGAATGGTATAGGCAAATGTGAAATAACTTTTACAATCACTGGACACTCAATTTTTATATTTACTGTCATGTACCACAACGACATCAGCATTTACAAATTTAAGTCTTTCAATTAAAAAATAAATAAATAAATAAAAGCAAAAGAAAAAGAAAATTAAGCTCTCAATAGATTTTTGTCTTCTTTATCCAGACCCTGACTAAATAGAGAACAATGATTCATAAAATTCTCTGAACTGATCTGCCTTCTTCCATCCCCACTCGATCAGTCATTCTTGCTCTGCTCTGGTACTGAATTTAATTACTTAACTGTGTTTCTGATGGTTTATCAAATAATGAGGGACTGATAAGATCTCAGCTGAGGAGGAGCAAAAACATCCATGGTGACATTCAGCAGCAAAAAGATGGAAAAAGAAAGTCACTCCATTAACAGAAGCAACAGACAACCTTGCAGACGCATCAGCAGACATTGGATTGGAAATTATTCCTTGATAATTTGCACTCCTGTGCGCAGGCAGGCCTGGCCAGAAAGGCCAGAGAGTGGTATGGAGATTTAATTTTGTCTTTGGATTGTGCCACTGTCATGCATCAAAAACAAGATTTAAATACAACAGAAGGGTGGGAGAAAGCTGACTAAATGTATGGACAGATAACCCGTGGTAAAGCGGTAACCTTTAGAACACACTCTTTCCACTATACCTTTTTAAAGGTAGGGTTTTACTTTAATCTGGCGTTCACTAGGCTTGAAGAGTGGAGGTTTTGTGTTTTATGCTAGTTTCAAAGAAATTTCTAAAGATATGAGAACATCTGCTAACCATTTTACTGCCTTTCTTTGACATTTTGCAGAGCAAGTAAAAGAATCAGCTTCATTTTTGCCTTCAAGGTAGTCACGGAAACCTGTATCAAAAAATGGACTGAGGTCTTCATATCATCCACAGAGGCCCAAGTGTTTTTTAGGTAATACCAGCTACCAGGCCCATGAATTTGTGTCTTTGACCTGCAAAGAAATCTGTACATATAGTTTAGCAGTTCCTACAGTGTATGACACATACAAGTGCAGAGTCCACTTATTACCAATAAAAGGCTAATTATCTCACAATTAGGTACAATCAGCGATATTTTACAAGAAAAATGAACTTTAAAAAAGTAGAGACACTGTCTATAAAACATTTCCAATTCTATTCAGTACTGGGAGAAGAAACAAAAATATTAATACAAGGCTTGGAAGGAAAGTCTGAATTCTTGTATAGATTTCTGATGTCACTTCTAGTCACATCCTGACATTTTATTAGTAAATTGGAGGTGTTGGTGCTTCATGCAGTTGTTTTATCTGCATCTGCTACCATAATTAAAATCAGTGAAACCAGAATAGCCAACAGTACAGAGGTTACACCCTCCAAGGGAAAAAAAATAAAAATAATAATAATAAAAAAAACCTTGAAGGTCTTCAGGGAATAATTTCAAGCACAGCTGAAACACAGGAAGAAAAATGACTTGTTTAGGTCAACTGATGACTTAAGAAAGTCACACATTATCTATAAAAGGAGATTCATCTATCCACTGCAGTCATTTTCAGTGCCACAGAAGATTCTTTGTGTTACTTAGTGGAGAATCATAGGTCCTTCAAGGGCAGGTTGGAAGAGCTCTGGTAATTTGTTCTGCTGCAAGTGTCCATTTCTTTCTCCTATCTAAAAAAGGACTCTGCTGCACCTAGGTCATATGTGAATTATATATTATAGAAGTCTAAGGCCTGCTGAGGAGGATCCCACTGTGGGAAGCCCATAAACGCAGAGTGTACACTATGATGTCAGTGACCAATAAAAATAGATAGTGAGACCCTTCCAAGCAGGACATGTCTGCTCCCAGGTAGGCATAAAAGAATTGATACTTAAAACAAATCTCATATCGAATGATATCAAATTCGATATCAAATCCCATATCAAATAATAGATGGAATTGTTATACCGTAACTCAAGAGTTGTACCCATATAGGATGAACAAAAGAGGATTTTAGAGACTGCATAAGGCAGTTATGTGTTGTTACTGAGACCACACTAAAAAAAAAGGAAAACATGATGTTCTAGGCTCTTGGTTGTGGTCCTCTAAATGTGTGCCAGTGGTTTGAAAGAAAAGCTATAAACTTCAAAGCTGACCAACAAAGGCTTAGACCAGAGGTGATCAATTGTGAGTTCATTACTTAATTAATCTTAATTCAGAGTCTGGTCAGGGCTGTTCACCACATCCTTCCCATGCAGCATATTGGAGCTACTGCACAGGTGCAGAAATCTGAAAGCTTCTGAAAATATGCGAGATCGATCACACTTTTGCAGACTGAAAATTATATGTTGCATCAAAGCCACCCATTCCTTGCACAGTTATCTCAGTGTTTCTTGTTGGCATGAACAGAATTCTGTTATGCAGAATACACATGGGTGGAGAACGAAAGAGTGCAAAAGAAAGAAGCAGCCAAGGAGAATACTCCAGCTGTTACCAGTCAGTTTGTCTCACAGAACACTACCTCAGCATTTCCAAGTTCTCCCCAGGGAAGGCAGACTCTAAGGCTGTTTTTGACACAAATTTTGCTAGATGGACACCTTTGGCTTAGAAATGAACAGGTAGTTATGTAATTGATACTCTATTTATCTTCTTTAGGCTCTCAATGTAAAGTGTAGAATTCAGAGCATTTTATTATTTCCCCCCTAAAACACCCTGAATGTAACATGCCACTTTCATAATTTATATTAAAGGACATAGTGAATGTCTCTCATGTCAACTGAGACTCTTGCTAGCAAGAAATAAGCACAGTTGGGGAA